AGAGCTATAATCTGATTGGTCGTTGAGATCCCTGGGGGTTTGACGTCACTATTACCATAACAATAGAACTTCACCGAATAGACTACCCCAATTAGATATTAGATATCTATAAGTGTCTTCATAGTACGATGGTCTAAGAGGGTAGCTAAAGGTATGCTCTAGTGGGCGGCTACCCCCTCACTCCCTGGCCTTTTGGTTAAGACTAAGTTTTATGTTCACTCGGGATAGCGTGGAAGAGCCGAAATCTCTAACCGAAACGTAAGCCGATTCGCCGCCTCAGCTTCATAGAATGTCTCGGGGGAATCGTCCCAATCTTTTATATTTTTTCATTTATTTTCTCTTTCGTTATCAGGGGGATGCAAGCATGTCAAGATTATTCGGTTAGGAGTTCGAGCCCCAGAAAGGTGCTTGTATTTTTTTTTTTTTCATTATTATTTTCATTATTCATTATATTTTTTTTCTTTTCAATTCGTTTTCTATTTGTTAATGAATATAGTTAATTTTCATCAATTTTTCTCTAATTATTATTATGAATTTGGTAATGATAATCATATAAATACCACAGGTAACCCAACAAGTTTAGTATATTTGCTATTTCCTTGGCTTAATGGCGACGATTGTCAATCTTTCCTTGAAACTTGGACATATATTCTGGGATCTTAGTGGCAAAACATTGATTGGTGAAACTTGATGGAAGAACTAACGGCGGTCAAATGAAAATCAATCTCGGGGTAACTTTAATACCAAGAACTGGCATAAATTAGGGACATTCCAATAGCTACGTTGAATCGCCAACATCCTCTCGACTCAATTAAGTTTGTATTCTCGCTTGCCAAATTTTCAAATTGTTTTTTTTTTAATAAAGTGTCAATAAAGTTTTCCGTTACACATCTTCCGTTCCTTTACACCGAAATATCTCATTGTCCCTTGCTGCGTCGGGGGCGGTTATACATCTTGATAAGTCGTCACCAAATCAGATCGAATCAAAACAATCAATATATTAGGTGCAACTGGCAGTTTATTACTTATTATATCATACTATAAATTGAGAATCATAGTAGTTTCAATTGCATATATCGATGTTTATCATGGTGCATTTCTGCCCAAAATGTTTCAGGTTTTTGTTTGTGGAAGAGGATGTAAACTGTTCAAAAAGTTACAAATGACTTSAAGTGGTGCATGCAGTCCTTGACCGTTGTTTTATTGGGTCTGTTATCGGCTCATCTAACGAACATAAATCCTTCTTGCTTGCGATGAAAACCGGTGTTGCTACCGAKAGTATACCCATAAAGAAACCTTCCTTTACCTGTAAACAGACGAACAAACAGTGACAATACTAATTTCAAGATTTGAAGGATCAAATAAAAACTAAACTGGTGAAACAAAACACACAGAATTATGGCTCTACTACTGATCATGAATACTCGAGAGAATGAATAAGGAAGCTAAATGACAAATGACATGAAAAACGATATTGACAAAGTTATAATGACGATATTGACTATACCAGTTGKGSTGAAAGACGAAGAAAACCAACTTGGACCGCACTCCGCGTTGTCACGGTTGTCAAATACTGCAAAAATGACATACCAGACAATCTATCAAATAGAACTTGCAGCAGTATAGATGTAATAGTAGGAAAACTATAACAGTGAGCCCCCAGGGGAGGGGGGGGGAGGTTCTCCTCTACATTCGCTATACGGGGACGTGCCGCCAACCAGGGTATCGTTTTSAGCGATTTTACTCTGGACCTGGGTACCGTTTTTAAGGATTTTACTCTGGAACAGGGTCAGGGCTTAATTCCGGAATTATTGATGCTGGGTAAAAATTCACGGGGTAAAAATTCGGTCTACACGCAAGCTCCCCCCCCCCCCCCCCCCCCCCCCCCCCGGGCAGTGAGCATACAAAGCAAAAGCAGTATCTGATACAACAGGATGTAGGGGCATTAGAGTCCAGCTGGTCCCCTATAGTACAATGGCGAGTGGGATCACCTTTGCAGTATGGATGTCACGCGTCTAGCTGTGACATTTAATAATATAAATGTTTCTCTGACCAATAAACAATTGACAACAATCAGAACAATGGTCAAGTGTCATGACATACCACAATGCCTATCGGGAATCTTGTATCCAACGCTGATTCCTTTRCAGTTAGATTCCCASTTGTATGGATAATGRTGCGAAATGATGGTCCTTGGACATCTTTTAAAGCAACAACAACAATCATTAGTACGATCTTTCTWCATATTTTTCTCACGAAGTATTGACGTCATTGCTATATTATATCCACGATTATGTTCAGTTTTTGTCATGAATACAGCAATAGCGTTTTCCTTTCAAAGAATAAATAACGCTTTTGAAGAACGCTCTGGACAACAAACGTTCTCGATAAAGGCCGGCCTTAACTTTAGAGATCAAAATCAAAATATTTCGATATGTGAAACATCGTTGTTGACATACTTTGATCCGGTACATGTTGACGAAAATTGATTTGAACCACTCGGTAGCTACAAAAAAAGCAGATAAGTATGTGGTAGTGGTGAAAAGAATGAGAATTGTGATACTGTTTGCATGGATAGGATAACATATATCCAAAAGTCATGTTCTCTGGAAGATCAATCATAGAAATAGAGCAGTCGTTATTATCTTCTATCGGTACAGGATATAAATGAATCAGACTACCATATCAATTCTTTTACACCTGGCTTTACCTGGTAAAAACACGTCCCAGCACCAAATTTATCAAGTCTGTACGTTCCTGGAGTAAAAAGAAAGCACATTTAGAGCTGAGATGATGCAAGACGGGTGTATTATTGATTGGATCTTTGATACAGTCGTGCAATTCATAATGGTTTCATTATCAATGTGGAATTAATGACAAATAACTAATAAAGCTCTGTATAAAAGAGGGCAATGCCCAGTAAGTCTGTATTACCTTCAGTAGAGGCCAAAGCAATGATATCTTCATCAGACATCTTTCTCCCTTCAACGTTACTTTTGCTGTGTTGCACACAGAGAAATGAATCTTTGCAGTTGTTCTCAATGGTTTGTAGATGGTCATTGTTACTGGCGCTGACAGAAACAACCAAACTCCATCCACCACCTGAAAACGAACATACACTGAATACCAACTAATGTCACAGACCATGAAATNATTGTTGAGGTACATAAATGAACTCCCTCTTGTACAAAATCTTACATTCTTTCTCCTTTGTACCCCTCCATGAAGAAAATCCTAGATCCGTCCCCTGCATTGGTATCAATGGTGATGATGGATAGGTACAATACTGATAGAACCATGTTATATCCACTTAGATACAATTTGATGCTCCGTTGCTGGAATAAAATACCAGATGAAAGACCAACCTTTCCGGAGTTGAAAGAGATGCTTATTGGGCTTGAAGACGCCCAGTCCAAGGTAACTGAAATCGCTGAACTGACACAACAATGACATGACAAAAAGGCGACAATAGACTTCGTGACAAAATCTTAAACATGCAATCCATGAATTCTAATCGTCTATGAATTTGTTCATGTCTAATGACAGGATTACATCAACCTCGCCGAATGTCTCTATCAAAACGTCCAAGTCAACGACTCTAAAGGAGCAAGCGGAGGAGGGGACACGATGCCAAGGAAAAGTTTAGCAAAAGAAAACGATTATCACAAGGGACCCCGTCTCAGGCTTGGCCCGTTTGAATCGGAATGACGTTAAGCAACGTGAAGAATTTCAGATGAACAATTCGTTATAGCAAGTTCGGTATCCCAGTAAACTGAACCAACAAATTAATCGGTATTCCAGTAAACTGAACCAACAAATTAATCGGTATTCCAGTAAACTGAACCAGCAAATTAATCGGTATTCCAGTAAACTGAACCAGCAAATTAATCGGTATTCCAGTAAACTGAACCAGCAAATTAATCAGTATTCCAGTAAAAAAAACAGCATATTAGTTCTTTTGGAAAACGTTTTTTATATGTCATGTCTTCTAATCTCAACTTGGACTCGTATTCGAAATGCTTTTAAGTTCGAAAACGTCTTTCCCCACTGGAAAACCGTCAAAACGCAACCATAATTCTATGGAAAAATTGCTAAAATAGACAATCTTTGTCTACTGTTATGGAAGGAATAGTTCACGGTTAGTTGCACGGATATCCGATTCAGCGTTATAAGATAATTATAATTATCTAA